GGCTTCCCTATCTAACCCTAAATAAAAGGAACTCATTCACCCTTGAAAAAAAAAAAATAAAGGCGTGAAAGTAACTTTCAAGCTTAAATAGTAGAATCATTAACTATAATTGCTTCAGGCATTAAAACAATTTAATTTGAAGTTGATGTTCTTTATAGAAATTGCAAATGACAACCGAGGGACTATAAAATGATAGCTGCTGAGAAATCTGAGAATAATAAAAAAAAAATTCTGGGACGCCTGGGTGGCTCAGTGGGTTAAGCGTCTGGTTTCAGCTCAGGTCATGATCCCAGGGTCCTGGGATCGAGCCCTGCGTAGGGCTCCCTGCTCAGCGGGGAGCCTGCTTCTCCCTCTCCCTCTGCCTGCCGCTCTGCCGGCTTGTGCTCTCTCTCCCTCTCACAAATAAATAATTAAAATTTTAAAAAAGTAATAAAAATAATGAATAAATAAGAGAAAAATCCCATATGCTTCTCAGTCGTACCAGTGGAACTGTGCACTCATTGCATACTGCAGTAAACTCAGCAACAAACCTTAGTTTTCCTTCTCGGAATTCCACTCCACTTCCCTTGCTCTCTCACCCCTGCTTCCTGAAATCTCTTTCTGAAAACTACCTGTCCCCAAGTCCCCATTGCAGGCTTTCTTTGGACAATTCCAGCATCTGACACCTAACCATGAGAAGAGGTTGAACCCAACACAGTAGTGGTTCTGTATCCTGTTTCTAGACTCTCTAAAAACCTGATTATTGCCTTACTTGGTACAGTGGATCTGAATAGGTAATTCTGTTAACTGTGGCCAGCAGAGTAAGTTTGTAACTTTGGCATAGAGAAATGATATTTTTGAGTGAGATGTAGTTGTATTGATTTTATTATCATTTTGGTTTTTTTGAGATGTTTATTTTTTTAAGATTTTATTCACTTATCTGAAAGAGAGAGAGAAAGAGAGCATGAGTGGGATGAGGGGCAGAGGGAGTAGCAGACTCCCTGCTGAGCAGGAAGCCCCACTGGGGGGGCTCGATCCGGGACTCCAGGATCATGTCCTGAGCTGAAGGGAGCCACTTAACCAACTGATCACCCCTTAAGATGTTTAAATGTTTAGGGAACTTAAAAAAAATAAATATTTAGGAAACTTGATCTACTAAGTTTGTGTATGATTTGTTAGATGTGTAAGAGCTTCTAAGATGTGTTTAGAAATAATATGCTAAATATGCAATTTGTTCTATTAAGTCTGGAGTGCCAAAAAAAGAACGGGATAAACTAGCCTTGTTGTCCTTTGAAAGGCCTATGGGAATCTAAATAAATAAGTTGGATTTAACAAAGCAACCTATCCCCCTCTGCCCAAAAAAAAGTAACCTAAAAACCAATTAAAAAACTGGTGGGCTGTCATCAAAAGTGTGAAAACAAAGAACAAATTTGATTTAAACCAAGGGTGTCATAAAAACCCATAGCATTTAATAGGCATTTAATCTTGTAATAATAATAATGACAATAATAGAAAAGGTTTTTTAAAAACGCTGTTAAATTTTTAAGTATCTAAACTTCTCCAGGGTTTTCCAACCCATGTCAGTAAAATTGAGAATGGAATAAAATTGGAAAAGGACAAGACCGAGCATCTTAAACTTAAAAAAAAAACCCCAAATCTCTGACCCAGACATGGAGCAGGTATAGGAATTATTATTATTGCTATTATGTTTTTCTAAGGCATACACTGCATGAGGTGGTCTACGCATCATCAGTAACGTTTTCTAAAAGATCACTAAAGATATTTACACTTGAAACTAGTTATTCATTCTGTTATTTATTTTTAAACACTCCTGCTTTGATTTTGTATTGTGCTGTCAGATAAGACAGATGGGTGTTTACATTAGTTCCATTGGTAATTAAAACTCTGGTTAGAAAGATAATTACAAGATTTACCAATCGTGAGGTGATTCAACAGCCTGATGAGACACATCAGAGTTAAAAAAAAAAAAAAAAGGAAAGGAAAATGAGTGCCATTACTGAACAGATAAGCCCTGAATATACAAGCTTCACAACAGGACCCGGAAACTCCCGATACCAGGGAGATGAAGTGATCCACAGGGCCAAAATAAAAGACAAAAATAAATTGGAACCAATATGATAAGTTGTAGGAAATAAATGTATTTGATGAATTAAATACCAGTGGAAGGGTGTGGGCTCAAAACATCTCACCGACAGGACAGGCAAGAGCTTTCTCTAAGGAAATTTAAAACCTTAATATTAACTCAGTTAATATTCATTAATATAGCGGTGCCTGGGTGGCTCAGTCTGTTAAGTGGCCGGCCCTTGATTTTGGCTCAGGTCATGATCTCAGAGTCCTGGGATGGAGCCCTGCGTGGGGCTACATGCTCAGTGGGGAGTTGGTTTCAGGATTCTCTCCTTCTGCCCCCCCAAAATGAATAAATAAATCTTTTAAAAAATATTCATTAATGTATAACTAAGAGCATTCCTTTCTTCATACAACCATGCCCCCAGTTTTTCACATAACCATCTGCCATTAGTAAGAGCTCATTAGTGACGGGGCGTCTGGGTGGCTCAGTCAGTTAAATGTCTGCCTTCAGCTCAGGTCTTGATCCCAGGGTCCAGGGATTGAGCCCCACTCGGGTTCCCTGCTCAGCGGGAAGCCTGCTTCTCCCTCTGCCTGCCGCTCTGCCTACTTATGCTCTCTATCTCTGTGTCAAATAAATAAATAAAATCTTTAAAAAAAAAGCTCATTAGTGATAATTTTTAAAAGACTCTTTAAAGGTAATAGACAATACCTTCTCAGGTTGAAATATCATTAACTTTTTCTGTCTATTAAAAATCAAAATACCTAAGCTAGTTTCAAATGTGTTCTTTGCTGTCATTAAGGAAACATCTGAGTGCTGCTGTGTGACAGACAATATGCGAAGCACGGGGAGTACAAAGATGATTTAAGATACTCTACCTCTTTCTTATGAGCCTAGAGTCAAGTTGGAAATATATATGGAGAGGCGCCTGGGTGGCTCAGTCCCGCATCGGGCTCCTTGGTCTGCAGGAAGCCTGCTTCTCCCTCTCCCACTCCCCCTGCTTGTGTTCCCCCCCCTCTGTCAAATAAATAAATAAAATATTTTTTAAAAAGATATGGATACAATTAAAATGCACCATAAGTGCCATAGTAATGTACAATTGCTAAAGGAACAGAGAAATTGGACTAAAGCTACTTAGAAAGGATAGGGGAGTTGTGGGAACTGGTGCTTGAGAAGGTCTTAATAAATGTGGAAGTCTGCCACCAAGAGAGGAGACTTAATATCACTCTGCGTGGAGAACAGGAGTATCACCAAAGGTACAGGGGGCTGTAGGTTCAGACCCCCAACCAGTGTGTGGGCGGGAGAACAGACTACTTTTTTTTTTTTAAGAATTTATTTATTTGACAGAAAGAGAGAGAGAGCAAGAGCATGAGCTGGGGGGAGGAGCAAGGGTAGAGGGTCCCGCTGAGCAGGGAGCCCAATATGGGGCTCGATCCCAGTGACCTGAGCCAAAGGCAGGCATTTAATGGCTGAGCCACCCAGGCGCCTTGGGAGAACAGAAGTCCTGGCAAGAATAAGAGTTGAGGCTGAAGAAAGAGGCAGGTGCCAGGTTATGGAGCACCTCATTGTGACTATAAGAAATGGAGAGCCATTTAAGAATTTTAAGCAAAGTCAGGGAGAACAGTTAAGAGATTATTATAATAGGGCGCCTGGGTGGCTCAGTTGGTTGAGCGACTGCCTTCGGCTCAGGTCATGATCCTGGAGTCCCGGGATCGAGTCCCGCATCGGGCTCCCTGCTCGGCGGGGAGTCTGCTTCTCCCTCTGACCCTCCCCCCTCTCAGGTGCTCTCTCTCTCTCTCTCTCATCCTCACTCTCTCAAAATAAATAATAAATAAATCTTTAAAAAAAACTATAAAAAATGTTTTAAAAAATTAAAAAAATAAAATAAAAAAGAGATTATTATAATAATACAATGAGAAATTAGGCTTTAAATTTATTAAGTGGCAGAGGGCACAGGGAGAAGAAAGCAGAACAGGACTTTGATCATGATTAAATCTACATGGTGAAGGAGGAAATTGTGTTTGTACCTGATGATCTCCTTTCTTCAAGGTCAACTCTTCTCAAGTGGCGGAGGTGGCAAGGACAGATAAAAGTATCAGGTGTTAGTGCTGAAGGAAAATAAGGCTTCTAAATGTAGGGATCTGCAGGCTTCAGGGTTTTTTTTTTCAGGCTTAAGTTTTATTAAAAGAAAAATCACGCAATACTGAGGTTATAAAAATTACTTTATTTTAAATGTGAAAATATAAAAACTACTTATATATAAAATTCAGGGGTATTGAAGCATCCAACTCTAGGTTCTGTCTTTAGCTCCTTATAAATGTACCTAAATTTAATTGAGACAATATTCTTAGCAGGCATAAATATAAAGAGAATTATATTTCTAAAAATTAAGATACAGGAGAAAATAATACCTTCTGTCACTGATAAAAACACAAAACTAAGGTGGTCAGTGCCATAGACTTCCCAGCACCCTCTCCATTCCAAAAGATTAGGAGGAGACAATTATATGGATCTCGTTGGTGTTGGTAGTGACTGGGGAGAGTGGCCATGTGACCCATTCCTGACCAGTAAGACATGAGGAGACGTGAGGAGAGGTTTGCTGAGAGAACCTCCGAGAAAGGGTTCTTCAAGTCTGTGAAGCAGAGGCAGAAAAAGTTGCTTGTCTTTCTGCAGCTGCTGCCGGGTCTGAATGGATCCATGGAATAACTCCAGACATCATGCCATCAGCTTAAAATGAAGCCAACACTAAATGTGACAGAGCAGGGAGATGCAAAGGACCTGATTCCTTGGTGACATCCTGAGCCCTCCCTACTTGAACTTCTTGTTATGTAGGATTATAAATGTCCTGATGGTTTAAGCCATTTGAATCACAGTTTTCTGCTACTTGCAGCCAAAAGTTTCTCAATGAAAACAAGAACTAAAGGTAGACTAAAAGTAAACATTAACAGGTAGTTAAAATGTATTGAATTACATTTTCTCCTCTTGGCAAATCAATTTCATTTACAGTCACTGTAAAATTTCATTTGACGTTTACATAATCCAGTCCCTCTAAATTGTCATTAATTCTTTTTTTGTACTATCACTTCTAACCGTCTGTCGTCTCTCACAGAGAGAAGAGAAGCAGCAGTTGAATTTAGCTCTCTGTTTAGGTGAAAAGAGACTGTCTCTCATTTATAGACAATTTGAAGATTGTGGCAGTAAACTCTTTCCATAAAGACAGTGTATAGAATAAGGAATCCTGCAATCCTTTAAAAACTGTTTTTTAAGATAAAAACAACTAAGCACTTAAAATTAATCATATAGCCTTCACTTACTTGCCTTCTGGCTGTATTGGGAGCATCCATATACCTTTTTAATAACCTTAAATAAAAACAGAACATGCAAAGCACTAAGCATAGTGTTTGGCACAAGGTATTATTAGCAGTGGTCTACTTAGAACAAAGGACTGTGCTGAATCTCACACGGAGAGTGTCCCAGGATCCCTGAAGCTTCCACTAGTTGATTTGTAATGCATCTGCTTGCCTTCCTATAGCTTGGGTTTTGCTTTCCTCTTATCAATAAATATACTTGAAAAATTCAATCTCAGGGCTAGTGTATGCCTTTCATTTTCAGAGGCAAGCAGTAACTTTGGCATTTTTTATCACAAAAAATCCATATGAGAAAGGTGGCAAACCCAGTGAACTTCCTGGGCGGAGAGCTTTTTCTGTCAAAGCCGGGAGGGTGTGATCATCCACCATCTTCAGAGTTCGACCATTGAGCTGGACGGATCTGCAAAGGGGAAAGGTACATCCGAGTTAGTCCAGTCATGTGTGCTCCAACTTCTCTACAAAAGTCGTGATGTCTTTTTTTTTTTTAAGATTTTATTTATTTATTTGACAGAGAGAGAGAGAGAGAGAGAGAGAGTGAGAGAGGGAACACAAGCAGGGGGAGTGGGAGAGGGAGAAGCAGGCTTCCTGCCGAGCAGGGAGCCTGATGCGGGGCTCGATCCCAGGACCATGGGATCATGACCTGAGCCGAAGGCAGACGCTTAATGACTGAGCCACCCAGGGTCCCCGTGATGTCTTTTTAAGGCCAAAAATATTTGTGACAGCCTATATTATATAACTTGTATTTCACTACTATATCGGGTAAATATTTGACCCAGATGATCTCTAAGCTACACTGGGAGAGCTGAGTCATTGTGACAGAGACCATATGGCCTGCAAAAGCCTGAAATACTTACTAACTGGCCCATTACAGAAAATGGAACACACATAGTCTATACTAGGCACTAAGATGGAGGTATAAAAAAGATAAACGTGACATAACTTCTGGATTTGTGGCAATTTTATCTGATGGTAAATCATTGGAAAAATTTTTATAAAAGGCAAATAGATATATAGAATGGAATGTAAATTTCACAAATTAACATTAAAAATGGCAATGAAATTTCCTGCTTATAACTGTGCCCATAAACCCTCTAACTCCCCATTCCTCAGGATGATATACATTCATTTGCATATCTTATGTTGTTAAGATATTTTGGAAGAATATATATTGCCGGAGTGAAACAAAAATAATTGCTTCACTAAACCACAGATTCCAAAAAAATGTATGTTTTCTTTGTATTCCACTGTTGGAATTCAAATTCAAAACTGAGTCAAAAAAATTTGAAAAATATTTTAAGAACAAGTGTTATTTTTGTGCATATTTATTATTATTTACATCAAATTAATACATGCTCACAACAGTAAATCCAATATAAACAAGGGCTTATAAAGAAAACCTTTAGTCTGCTTTTAGTTCCACTGATAGTGAATTCCATAATTTTAAACGATGTTTACATCTCTATGATCTTTTTCTCAAGTGCTTTTTACATTATGAAGTTTTTACAATATGAAAAACAGTTTTATTGTTGAAAATTGGTTAATGTCAGAGTTATATGTATGTCATATACATAATACGTGTATTTATGTAGATCACTTACAGGAGTGCCTTGCGTATAGTAAGCACTGCAAAAGTAATATCTGTCATCATCATTATTCTGATAAATAAATATAACAGAAGTAATCTGCTAATTCATCCTAACCATTTTTAGTATTTTGATGTATATTCCTTCATCTCTTTTCATCTTTTATGTATACATGTGCATATTTTCATTTAAACAAGAACGAGCATACTGTACATGGTCTCTTAAAACTTGATTCTTTTTCCCTTAACATATCTTAACATTTGCTTACACACATCTACATCATTTCAACAGCTGTATAGGATTCCATTGTGTGAGCATATTAGCTTAGTAGTTGTCTAGTGTTAGACATTTGGTTGTCTCCAATTTAGAATTATTTTAATTTTCATCTTTAAAGATCTCTCAAACTCTATCCTCACTAAGTGTCCGTCAGCAGAAAAACTGGTTTCCGTTTAACCTTGGTTAGCTGCCCAGCTCTGGTCTCTGTACCTACAGACTGAAAAAGATAACCACGATTGTGCTGGGGGCTCTCAAGCCCGTCCTGCATTTGCACTCGGTCCACATGCGCATGAGTTTTAACGCCTATATCACATCCATTTTTAGATGGGATGGGGGAGGCAAGGCCATGACCGTCATCAGGAAACAACAAACAGGGTGTTATGCACAAACAGTGAATCATGGAACACTGCATCAAAAACTAATGATGTAATGTATGGTGACTAACATAACAATAAAAAAAACTTAAAGTAAAAAAAAAAAAAAGGAAACCACAAACAAAAATAGGCCTTGAAAATACCTCCAACTGCCAGTCGTAAGAGCTGTTCTGCATGAATTTGAGACCCATTTTTTCAAGGGTATGTAAAAAAGTTTCAGAAATGCTTTTAGGAGAGGCCACAGGGCTTAAAGGGAAATCTCATCATTGTAAATAAATAGTGCTGTGGGTTCAGATGATGACATATAGGCAAGATAATACCTAAGACCTTCTGGCTACACTGTTTAATCAACTCTAAAAATAGCTAAAGGATGCTATCAATACACTGAGAATAAGCTTAAAGCATGTGGATTATTTCTGCATTGGGCTAGGTAAATCAGGGTAAGGTTTTATTCGAGGGTAGTATCTTATTTCATATTTTGATGTCAGTAACATGATGACAAGAAATAGAAGACATGCTTGTCAAGTTTCAGATGAAACAGAGCTGAAAGGAATTAGCAAGCAAGAGGAATCCGAATTATGGATGCTGGGCAAAATTTATCTAAGATAAATATAAAATACTGCTTTTAAGTTAAAAATATATTCCCTCAAATATTTACTAAACGCTACTACACCGGACCTTCTGTAGACACCATACAAGTTGTTCAACTAAAAAGTGATTTTTTTTTTAAAGATGATCATTGTTTAACACTCTGAGGTCATTAGAATGAATAAGTGTGCAGACTGAACACTCATCAAACTTCTCTGGGATACTTTTGCAACGTTTTATTTTATTTTTTGCAACATTTTAAAAGAGAGAAAAGCATAAGTGATGTATACTCATCAAAGAGAATTTAGGGTAATAAAACATTACACAATTCACAATTTCACCAGTTTTCCATTATGAAGCACAAAATGTGTGATCAGAATGCAATGGGGTCTGATAAATACAGGAAAGAGAAGAATCATTGAAGAAATTGGGCATATTAGGCCTGGAGAGAACCATCTAACTGTCCTGCAGACATTGGAGTTATTCTGGAGAAAATTAGGTATTTGGCATTGTTCCACATTAACGGTAGCAAACTCAAGTGGCCACAAGAGCCTGTGCAGTAGGACAGGGTCATAGAGATAACAGGGTCACAGGAGGATTAGGGAGAACCTTTCTAAAGTAAACAACCCCAATTCAACTCCATCTACTTGGGAAAACAAGCCCACAGTTCCCAGAATATCTATTTACAAAATTTTTTTTAAAGATTTATTTATTTATTTTAGAAAGGGAGGTGGTGGGGGAGGGATAGAGGGAGAGGGAAAGAGAGAGAATCCCAAGCAGACTCCCTGCCGAGCGTGGAGCCTGACGCGGGGCTCCATCTCATGACCCTGAGATCACAACCTGAGCCAAAACCAAGAGTCAGATGCTTAACTGACTGAGCCACCCAGGTGCCCCCAGATTGTCTGCTTTTAAAGAAAAGCTAGAAATCCAGATATTTTCATAATTACCAATTTTTAAATGTTGACAACTTAGTAAAAATAAAAATTAACACAGAGTACATGACGATCTCCCCTACCAGAAAAAAGAGGGAAAAAAAAAGCGAAAAAAAAGCCCTCTAAACCCACTTGTGCACAGGCATGAGGCATAGTTTCTGACTTCTGCTGTCGAGGACAGAACTAAAAACAGCAGATGAAAGGCAGAGAGAGACGTTCCCCTTGCCAGAGAGGACGGCTGCTGGGAGAGCGGCCACATCCAACCGAGGAGGAATCAGGCAGAGCTGAATGGCCTAAACTCCCCATCTAAGGTTGGACTAAAATATCTCCTAACACTCATCCAACTCTACAACTATTATTCTGTGACTTCAGGAAAGCTTTTCCCTTGTCAGCATCAGACACAAATATCAGCGTCAGACACAAAAATACCCATTTCAAAGTCAGAACCCAAATAGAAAAAAAGTATCTGTTAACCAAATATGCACTATTTACACTAGGGGAGGAAAAAAGGTTTAAACAGCAGGAAAATGGGTAGGTAAATCATGGTATTTTATAAAACATGCAGCCCATTAAAAATGTCTACACAGGCTGTGTATGGAAGAACATTTGTGGGTGTCCCCTCTTTCCTATTAGAGGTTGTATGGTCACAGATGTAGTAAAATAAAGCATAGGGAAAAAATAAGGAATGGTATCCAATGTTAATGATATTTGTCTATGGAATATAGGTCTTTGGAAGAAAGCAAGCTTACTGTCCCTTTTCAGGTTCTGATGCTAATTATCACTGAAAACATCACTCATATAGTATTTGCAAAGATGGGAGGAGATGGTGAGAATTTTGTAAACTCTTAATTTTTTATACTCCAGTGTGAGAATAGTCATGATGAAAAGAGCTCCTTCCAACACACATTGGACAGAATCTTACAATGTTTGTGTGCCTGACTCTTCAAGGCTCATGGTCATTTTGGGTGTTCTGCTGAATACAGTCTTTTATAAGACATATCCAATGACTGGCTTTTAAAACTAAAATGTGTTACAACCAGCTTCAAATAACCCACCTAAAAGCTACACTTCTGGACATATTTTTTTTTTCTTACTCTAACCAAATGAAAACACTACTTTAACACTGTGAGAGAATCACACTCGGTTCACATGGTATAATATGTACAACCACCCCCACGCCCTTAATACCAATTATACATAGGTATGTTCGCTTCAGTGACTGTGTTACCAAGAATTATAAGTTTTTGTAGAGCAAATAATCTACATGCCGTGAGGGCATCTTGACATATCAAATTGTTTTGAAATGCAAACTATTCCCTACAATAACTGCTAACTTGTGTTCATATCCTTCTGCTTTGGACTCTGGGTGAGTTTTACCTGTATTGATAAATATTCATATATAAATATTAGGAATTGTTAGAACTTGAAATAGTTGACTTTTTTTTTTTTTTGCTCTCTAGCAACACTCTCTTTTCTGATAAATACCAATCAATTTGGCGAAAGTTTGAAATGAAAAAGGAAAATTACTCACTTGGAAAGTAATCCATCAGGCCCTAAAGGTTTTATGAGGTATTTGTCCACTTGTTTGTCAAATAGATGATAGGGCAACCGCAGGCGTTTGGTGACGTTATGGAGGTTTAAGGCGTACAAAGTTAAATCTCCTTCTTTATACCTTGGGCTAAAAGCAAATAGATTAACTCCATAAAAATATTTATCTAATGTAAGCAATTAAAAACTCAATTACAAACATAATCATGGATACTAAGTATTAGTATGTGTAATGATGCTGGACCTTCTTTTTATCCCCCTTTCATGATTACAGTAGACAGCTGATGTGGTCCTATTTGAAAAAACGATTGAAACTATTGCTCCTCACACTACCATTTTCTGGGTGAGAGCATTCTGAGATTTCTGCTGCTTTGCCAGGCTGAGCTGCTAGGAAGCTGGTCAGCCCAGCCATGTTCAAACATAGGAAGGTTAAATAATAAAAGGGAATTTTGTGGGTTCCTAGGAATTCAAATCATAAACCATGTAAACAGGAGCTTTTCCTAGCCTTATGAAAAAACAAAAACAAATAAGAAAATTAAATCTATGGACACTTTTCAGAATTTCCATCCAAACCATTCTCCTACTTCCTAGTGGGTCCTCAGTATTTCAAGAGTTCCCACTTACCAGAAATTATGATTGTCTTTATTTTGACTAGAATTATTATTTTAGTACCGTCCTATCAGGAAGAGCATATTACTGATTAAAACTTGTTGACTGGTAAAGGGTGTGTTACACACTTACTGGTTGACGTTGGTACAATGAAGGTATACTCGAAGTTTACCTCTGTCTGGACCTTTCACACTTGCCATAAACACATTGGTGCCCACCAATTTCTTGAACAGAAGAGATAGCCAATAATCCTAGTTGTGGTGGATGGGGAGAGAAGGAACAAAAATAGATCTTTGTTTTTTTAAGATTTTATTTATTTATTTGTCAGAGAAAGAGGGGTAGAAAGCACAAGCAGGGGGAGCGGCAGGCAGAGGGAGAAGCAAGACTCCCCACTGAGCAGGGAGCCCGATGCAGGAGTCGATCTCAGGACCCTGGGATCATGACCTGAGCCGAAAGCAGACATTTAACCAACTGAGCCACCCAGGCGTCCCCAAAAATAGATCTTTGCTTATTTCTTTAACAAAAACAGCGAGAGCAAATAGTCAATCCTACAAAGACAGTGACTGTTAGTCTAGAATATTTAAATGGACTACATTTTTGATCCATAGTCCCACCATGAATCTGAGAGCAATTTCTTGTTTGCTGCTTTTTATTATTGGAGGACTATATTTGCACAATTCAGAGGGCCATGACCACTAGGAGATACATCTCAAGAATGTAATTCATTGCTGAGAGAGTTTAAATATTCTTTATTGTCTATCATCCAAGAATTCAAAGCAAAGCTCAAAGCAGAACTTTTAGATATGCACGTGTACACACTCACACACACACAAAAGCAAGTCTTACAATAAAACTTCTACCTGTTTAAGAGATTAAAATAATTTCTTTTTTTATAAGATTTTTAAAAATTTTTAAGTAATCTCTACACTCAACAGGGGGCTCGAACCCACAACCACGAGATCGAGAGTCACCCACTCCACCAACTGAGTCAACCAGGTGCCCCTAAAATAATTTATTTTAGAACCTTATAGCCCCCCTTCCTGAATAAAGTAATGGATTAGGCAATGGTCATTACTAGCTATCAAGGTAAAAAAAAAAGAGAGAGAGAGAGAGCGAGAGAGAGGGAGAGAGAGAGAGACAACCACACATTATGTGCCTCTTGTTGGAAGCATGTGACATCTCCTAAAAAGAAGTATTGCAAAACAAAACAAAAACGAAAAATCTGAATAAGCTCAAGCTTCTAGGTCTAACTGCCAGTTTACAAGAAACAGAGGAACATGCTAAAGGATAGCACAGGAATTAATTTAGCAAAATCCAGAACATGGGAAACACTATAGAACAAATTACCTGCTTTCTTTAATTAATAAATTCCACGGGACAAAAAGGGGGCGGGAGAGGAAACTTCAAGATTAATAGACTTAAGAGATATTTCATCCAAATGCAATATATGGATCTTGTTTGTATTCTGATGTGAACAAGCCAACTATTAAAAACATTTGAGACAATAAGGAAAATGTGAAACACCCACTGACTCAATATTTGATGATACAGAGGAATTATTGTTAGTATTTTACAGTATAATAATATTTTGTGTTTGTATAAAGGAGATACATCCTGACTTATTTAGTCAGGTGATACGGTGATACATCTGAGATTTGCTTGAAAGTAATCCAGTGGGTGGGAGGTGAGGAGTGGGGAGGACTAGAGAGTAAACAGAATTGGGGATTTATATGCTTTTCTCTCTACTTTGAAATTTCCATAATAAAAAGTTTTTGTTTTTTTTTTCAAAGAGCCCTACTCAGTGTATACCCCAATTCTTCCCTCTTCAGCTGAGGAAATGTAGACTCAACAGGGCAAACAGACGTTTTGTTTCTCTGCTTACATTCAAATTTTTCACTGGAGAGAAGAATAGAATCAGTTAAGCATTTATAAAGGAGATCTAACTTCAGTGTGGTTTGGTGACTGTTAGAGTGGAAAGCATTCAGGCCTCGGAGCCGGGATTTGTATGGGATTCTAGAGTAACATGGGACAGCTGTGTGACTTCCCTTACCCAACCTTGTCTCCGTTTGAACGTCCTCATCTGAAAAATGGATCAAAGACACTGCCTTGCCAGCTTCCAGGATGGTTATGCAAATCCAATAAGAAAAGACCTGTAGGGGTGCTTGGGTGACTCATTCAGTTAGGCTTCCGACTCTTGATTTCAGCTCGGGTCACGATCTCAGGGTCGTGAGAAGGAGCCCTGCCTCGGCTCCTCGCTCAGCGTGGAGACTGCCTAAGATTCTCTCTCTCCCTCTCTCTCTGCTCTTCCCTCCCCCAACTCTACGCTCACTCCCTCTCAAATAAATAAATAAAATCTTTAATAAAATAAAATTGAATGAAATGTAAAAACCCCATACTACGTTCCAAGTGGCCCACATTAAAAACATTATTCTGCTTCTCAATTTCTTCTCTTGGGACACAAAAGTATTAAAATGGATGGTCTCTAAGGTTTCTTCCAATTCATCATTCCATGGATTGGCTACCTACTGAGAGTACTGAATTTCCTGAGAGGATTGATTCTTCATAGGAGGTTGGTACAAGGGGCACTCAGTATACTCCAGTCTCCTCACAGCAATGGGAAAATAATGATCACTTACTGGTAGAGGTTTGAAGTTTTCATCCACTAAGTGGTAGTTTCCGGCTCCAAAGAGCACTTGCCTCATCACCACTTCTATGCCCATTCTGGCCGACAGGCCCAATTTATCCAGCCACCTGGAATAGAGTGAGGCCCAGCTCTCTTCAGGTTTGGAAAACAAAAAAACTCAATTCTAATTACACACTATTCTGATTGATTCATCTATGTGGGAGGAATTGACAGGAAACCAGAAAAGTGGTATTAATTATAAATAAGCCAATCAAACGACAGGAAGGACTATCCTTCCCTTCACATGTTCCCACACTTGAGCATGAGAATAAATCATAGAATACTATTAATATGCCATAGGAGTTCCTTTCAGGGTAAGAAAACTTCTACAGAGAAGAGTAGACAAATTCGCACCCTACAGGCAATCACTCTCCATCTTGCTGGATACCTTCCCCACCTCCCCACCCCCAGGCCCATGTGAGGAAGAAAAGGGTGAAGAAGAAAAGGCAGCTTGTAGTCATCAGTAGTAAAATGTGCAGTAAGTAGAATCACGCCTCGACTTTCATGGCTATCTCCCTGCACCCCGTCCATCTTTGGCCAATGGCAAGATAAACATCTTTATTCTTAACTCTCCTCCTCATGCCCCCATGAGCAAAAAGGATTTGTTCTTTATTCTGGATTTACAAGAATGGGGTAGGAGGGGAAAGAGAATAAGTCCCAGTGTGAGGATACAGAACTATAGATTAAGAGTGTTAACGGAGTTAGGGAATGTAAGTAAACCAGTTGCTTAAAGCAATCAGGTTTGTGGTGGCTGGATGACGAGGGTGATTTAGTAAGTCTTTAAACTCATTGGTAGCTCCTCTGGTGTGACCTCACACTCTAAACTCCTTGGGAATCTATGAATAGAGCTTTATGTACTAAGGATCCTTCTCAGACTCAAACCTCTAGATGCACTCATTTATGATCTCTTTCAGAAGAAGAAATGCTTGGCATATTTATGGGCCAAAATTAAGGAACAGCACTTCTAAAGCAATTCATTCATACAGTGATTAATTTGGGACACTCATTAAAGATGTCCAGCAAACTTTAGTAAAACATGTTCTTGCAAAATCTGGCATGCATTTTGGGTCTCAGCCATAGAAACCACATTTGATCAGCTTTTTGGCTGATGAACTGTCTCAGTAGAAGCTGTTTAATAAAAGGACGGGAGAATGTTGCAGCCTGATCCCCAAGGCGGTGCTGCTTCACTCACATAAAGCCAGCCGCAAAGGTGTTGGACAGCAAGGGTGCTCCACCCCCAAACGCAGAGCTCGTTTCTCCTAACCAAACCTTCTTGTGGGGTCTGGTCTCCTCGACAACCTATGCAACAGGAGAGTCCCCATTATATTTGCAAACAAGCTGACCAGCTATGGTGTTGAAGATTAATGACATTCAAAACCTTGTATTCCCAGACCGATTTGTCCAATATAGTTACAAAATATGTTTGTGGTCATTTAGGTCTTGGGCAATTAACTTTTATTGGAATTCTAAGTGTGGAAGGAATTTAAGTCATCCCCTTCCTATGGCCTTGGAGAGTTAATGCTACCAAAAGGCTATTGGAAGAATTTTTAATTTTTAATTGATACACATGGATAAGACCTGATGCTGAGGGGGACTGAAGTGAATAAGTGCCTGTTATCTAAAGAAAAACATGTAAATGTATAGACATATAGAATTTAGAATTAGCTAGACTGCAAAAATAAAAACTCTGGATTTATAAAAGTCCCTCCTTATCCATGGTTTTGCCTTCTGCAGTATCAGTTACCTGCGGTCAACTGTGGTCTAGAAGCAGATGATCCTCCTTCTGACCTATCTTCATTAGGTCACTAGTAGCCCAATGCCACGTCACAACACATATGTCATTCCCCTCACTTCATCTGGTCACATATGCATTTTACCATCTCACATCATCACAAGAGTGAGTGCAGTCCAATAAGGTATTTTGAGAGAAAGACCACATTCACCTTTTATTATAGTACATTGTTGTAATTGTTCTATTTTATTACTATCGTTGTTAATCTCTTTCTGTGCCTAATTTATAAATTAAACTTTATCATAGGAATGTATGTATAGGAAAAAGTATATATATATAGGATTTGATATTATCTGTGGTTCTAAGCATCCACTGAGGGTCTTGGACCATATCCCCTAGAAAGAAAGGGGACCTCTCTCCATTAGAAAAAAAAAAAAAGACTATTACCTGAAAAATTTTTTGCACAGATGAAGTAAAAGTGTCCAACACATCAGGGTTTAGGAAATCTTCTTTGGTAGCAATTCGTCCATTCAAGTAGTAGCTAAATTATTCAGAAAATATTCAGAAAAAAATAGCAAACTGTGCTTTCTGCTTTTAAGTTAATTGGCTACCTTGTTCTCCTTTCTACCTCTTCCCACCCCTCTGTTATATTAAAAAACAAAAAAGGCAGAAGTTCTAGCAAGAAGAGACAAAGATGGAAGAAGATCAGTTATTCTGTCTTCTTTTTTAAAGATTTTATTTATTTATTTGACAGAGAGAGAGAGAGCACAAGCAGGGGGAGCGGCAGGCAGAGGGAGAAGCAGGCTCCCTGCTGAGCAGAGAGCCGGCCATGGGACTCAAGCCTGTGGGACTCAATCCCAGGACCCCGGGATCATAACCTGAGCCGAAGGCAGACGCTTAACCGACTGAGCCTCCCAGGCATCCCTCAGTTGTTCCGTCTTGAAAAGACATAGTCAGAAGTGCAGGTACTTAGAGGTTACCTGGTCTTTGGCAAGCATATTGATTTTAGCCACTTATCTGCTCCACGATTTAAATGATAGTGTGCCTTGATCTTATAGAAACTACCACAGTATTTAAAATAAAGTTTAAACGTTTGTTTTATTAATATTAAAAGTCTAGTACACTGCTGCTTGAGATACTATTTGTTTCTTATTTCAACTATGTAAATTAGTAGTTAAATGGAAATAGTTTTTTGAAAGCTAAGTAGTAAGTAAAACTAGCATTAGTTTCTTAGTACTAAGAGCAGGAGACATACTTACTGGTGCCATGTAACCGAATCAATCACTTCACCCCCAGCCTTCAGGAAACTAGAAAAGAAAAATCTATTATGATCTTTACTTAATCCTCATATGCACAATATATATGCACAATATATGCACAGGAGTTTTATTGCCTAGAAATGGGCTGGTTACTGCCTTAGCATCAGGCAAATCCAAACTTCCTAATTCTGATATAAATTATATTGTAGGTTCCATTGGCCCCAGATCCTTGGTATTCTGAGCCAGTCAGCATTTCCTCTTTTGGTAAAACATCTGCTTAGGTAGCAAACGGTTTAATAACAGGTGGACTATTGAGAATTCTCCACCAGAGAGAAATATTCTTTTTAAGAAAAGTGGTTCTGCTTTTTCTAGTTCCTACCTTCTCAGTATCTTGAGAGTCTTTCCTCGAGGCTGGCCAACATCAGGACCATAGAGATTTGCAGTTTTGAAAGTGGTTTTTCCTAGAAGTTTATGCAACTTGACAAAATCTTCTCCTAACTGCAATCCATCGATGAAAATACCAGCCTTCTTGCGGAAACTGTTAGGTTCTGAAAGACAGCAGTTCTGAAGGTAGTCACGTACCTAGAAATTTTGTATTTGAAAGCAAACTTAAAAGCAGCATATAAAAGCAAGAAAACATTTCCCAGTTACAAAAACTTAGCATTCAAAGGCAAGAAAAGGAAAAGCCCTCATTATGAAGAAGATATTTCAGTTAAACAGAAATGTAAATGGCATAACTAAAGTGTGAGGGGGTATTACAATGATTTGAAGTTAATAATGGGGATATTAAACTAATGGATATTTGAGGAATAGTCTATATCCAGTATTTAATAAACTGATTTACTTAAAAAGGACAAAAAGTTTGGGTGGGAGGGGAAGACACTGAAAAACCGATTTCTACAATGCCATTAAAAGCCTTATTGAGACTGTTTATTCACAAATTATCCGTGCAGGTGAGCCTGGAAGTAGCCACGCTGAAGACATGGGAGGGAGGCACAGAAGTGTTCAATCTACTTCCCCAAACACCTTGCCCAGGCTCTCCCTCGCTCCCTTCTCCTTCTTTCTGGAAAGCAGAACTTTTCCTTGCAAAAGGGGGCCCAAGGAGGAGGGAAACAGGATGGCATGGCTCTGTTATGTTACTCTGAAGAGCAGAAGGAATTGGGGATGGGTGGTACAGTAGAAAAGTAGGGAGGGAGGGATATATAGAGATGGGTAAGGACGGGTTCAGATGATCCATTACTCATGTGGTTGCCATTAAAGTTGTTCAGCATCTAGCCAAGATATGGTTCCCTCTGCCCCTATATTGTGTTCTGTGCTTCACTTGCCAGTCACCCTTAGCAACCTCATCCCCAAATCTGCCTCTAGACATTACTGCAATACATGGCACTATAGACATGTATCTTATTTCTTTGCTTGCTTTCTTGTCGGTCTGGCTCCCTTCCTCTAGATTGGAACTCCCAAGAAAGCAGGGACCTTGTTCTGGAGCCAGACTACCTGGGTTCAAATCCCAAGTCCTCCACTTGGTAGCCCAGAACACACAGCTATTTAACTAACCTCTTTGTGCCTCTTTTCTCTTCCTTAGAATGAAGGTCATAATTGTATCTGCCCCAGCGTGGTTATAAAAAGAAAATAATACTTATTGAATGCTCAGAACAGTGCCTGGAATGTAGTACGTACCCATCATATTACTACATCTCATTTCCCATTTTAGTTTCAGTTCCATTGGCTCATGTGTGGAAAAAGCTCTATAATATGTTTAAATGAATGTGGCTAATCATTAGTACTTTAGTTAGAATTTACAAGTTCTTTGCCAAAAAGTGAAGAAGGAAATCATCAGGAGCTTGACCTGGGTAGTATTCTACACTAGGAACTTCTTGCTTGAGCGTATCATGATGGTTGAGGGATGGAGTTGCTGAAATTAACTGACGAGTTGAGAAACAGAGAAAGACATGAAAGGGCAAAAGCAAAAGTGCCTGCTTCCCAGGGTTGCTGAGTTCAACCTGCCAACCATAATAGGTTTAAGCAATCCTGAAAATGTCAAGTGAGCCCAGGAGCTGTGGAAGTTTCTGGGTCCAACCAGTTGTGGAAGTTTCTGGGTCCAACCAGTTGTCTTCAGCTCAAGTGTAACATAAACTAGGATTCACAGTAGGTCCTAGGATATATAAAGGAGTGTTCTGCCATAAGCAATTCCAAAAGTTGCATTGTTGAGCGCTGGTACAAGTATGCTGAGCCAAAAGCATATTTGCTAATATTAAAAAGAATGTCATAAATAGTTACAACTAACGCCAAAGGGGAATCTCCTTACTAATGAAATGTCCCAGGGGCACTTACCATTGCCTAGTTCCCAAGAAATGTTATAATTCTTGGAAGAGCAATAGTCCAGGAGCAACTGAGCATTAGAACTGTTCCACTGCAAATCTGCTGTTCGTAGCAAGGCATTTAGCCCAAAGATCAAGTCTAGTCCTGAGCAATTTGCAAAAGTATACAGCATATCCACGGAGCTTTCTAAAAGAAAAATGTTGCAATTTAATGGCTGGGTCAGCACCACATAATGAAGGCCTCCAGATTTGTTCTCCAACGGATTACTATTTTGGTTGTTAAACTGAAGTCACTCCTAATGAGTGACTATAATTATAAATATGAGACAAAAAATTAGACAGGCAAATTAAAAAATTAAAAATTAATAGGACTTCGTTTACTTCAGCTGTTGATTCAGCTTTCCATGCTGAACCACGTAAAGAACGAGAAGCTTTGGTCTGGCACTCTGGTTTCGTTCAAATGACCTCAGGGGAACTCATGCCCAAGTCACACTGTCATTAGTCAATATAAGCCACGCTCTTCATAACTGAAACATCTCTGCTCACAAGCTCAGTCAGAGAATATTTTTGGTAAATTTCACTCTATTTAAAACAATTTTTTGGAAAATTTCACGTATAGGGTTTGTTAATTTTAAATAAGTAAAATTTGGCATTAAAAAATTGGCCTAAGGCTATAGATCCGTGGTTTCCAAATTAGGTGCCAAGACATCCTGGCAAGCCTCAAGAAATTCACCACCTTGTTGTCAGATTTAGCGAAGGAAAATATAGACAACTAGTTAAGTTTGGACTTCAGATAAATGAGGAATAATGTTTTACTTCATGTCTATGCAATATGTGAGAAATACAGTAAAAAAAAATTAGTTTATCTGAAATTCAAACTCAACCAAGCAACCCTATTCACACAGGCACTACAGGATCCTTTAGATTTGCAAGGGAAATATCAACTCTGTTGGACACAAGAACTGTTACTAGTAGGTTTTTGGACTTAACAACTTAATAATTGAAACTCTTAGGTATTTACTTGGGGCTAGGTAAGATAAATTTAAAATTAAAACAATTGGGGCTCCTGGGTGGCTCAGTCGTTAAGCGTCTGCCTTCGGCTCAGGTCACGGTCCCAGGGTCCTGGGATTGAGCCCCGCATCGGGCTCCCTGCTCCACGGGAAGCCTGCTTCTCCCTCTCCCACTCCCCCTGCTTGTATTCCCTCTCCCGCTGTCTCTCTCTCTGTCAAATAAATAAACAAAATCTTAAAAAAAAAAATCAAAACAATTTAAAAAATGACTGAGTCACTTAAGTGCCATCAAGGTTTGAGAAATTTTGAACTCAACTTCTCTAACCATCAGCTAGTCCAGAATTACTTCTTGAGAGTAGCGACAATGTCAGTTTGAATATCATCTTCAAGTCAGGTATCGAATGCATAATGTCTGTAATTTTCATGTATATTTAGAGTGGTTGAATAGAAATTCACTCTTGAACCTTCCTAGTTTAAAAAATTCTAAGTGAATTACTGGGTGAGCATAGCAGAGAAACCCTCAATTTAATATTGCCGGTAAAGGCTGAGGGGCAGGAACGCCTCTCGGGAGTTGTTTGGGATGTTTTAGATATTTGCTGTGTCACGCACGGCCACAGAGCTGCCGCCTATCATCAGGGAGTTACGGACAACAGGGGTGGAAAAGCTCTCCAGTCCTGTTGCCCAGCATTCCACTGGATCCTGAGCCACAGTTTGGGATGGCACAGAGCCTTGGGGATTGTTGAGTTCTCCCCAAACCTCCACCGTCATTTTTCCATGAGGAAACTGACACCCAAGGAAATGAAGTGCTTTGCCCAATATGGCATAGCTATTTGGTGGCCGTGCCATTACTAGAGACTGTTGTAAAGGGGTGACTCGACTGTCTTAGTCACAGCTCCACGTTAGACATTCATATTGCAAAATCACACTGTAGAAAGTTTCCTGGATCAGAAATCCTAAGACCTGAGCTCCAGGAGCCAGTCTCCCACTTACAGACTGTATGATTGAGGTGATCGCTTTACCTGGCATGAGGCTCAGCTATGGATCCACAATCCTGGAATTAGCACCATCGTGTGCCTACTCACAAAACCGAGGTTGAAATGACATATGTGAAAACCCTTTGTAAACCATAAAAAGCCTTTATAGATATTAGGCACTGCCACCACCTTGTCCCTCAATGGCATTTTCAAAAAAAACCTAGAATGCTTGCATTTCAGAGTATTTATTCAACTCATACTTGATTCTTTGTCTGTTTCATTTTTCCAAAGGCACTTGGAATTTATATAGCTTAAAATTCTATTATATGCTTCCTACAACGTAATAGTAACATCTCCTAGAATAAGGGCTGTATATTACTGAGTTAGAATCTACTCTTAGAGAAAAAAAACAACCACCCAGTCAGCCTACTCTGTTCTCAAAATAAGAACAATAAGAAAATTCACAGCTAAGGGGCGCCTGGGTGGCTCAGTCAGTTAAGCGTCTGCTTTCGGTTCAGGTCATGATCTCAGGGTCCTGGGATCAAGTACCGCAACAGGCCCTTGCTCAGTGGGGACCCTGCTTCTCCCTCTGCCTGTCACTCCCCCAGCTTGTGCTTGCTCTTTCCCTCTCTCTGACAAATAAATAAAATTAAAAAGAAAACAAAAGAAAGGGGCGCCTGGGTGGCTCAGTCGGTTAAGCGTCCTCCTTCGGCTCGGGTCATGGTCCCGGGGTCCTGGGATCGAGCCCCACGTCGGGCTCCCTGCTCCGCGGGGAGCCTGCCTCTCCCTCTCCCACTCCCCCTGCTTGTGTTCCCTCTCTCGCTGTGTCTCTCTCTGTTGAATAAAGAAATAAAATCTTTAAAAAGAAAGAAAGAAAGAAAAAACTCACAGCTAAATTTCCATTTCCCAATCATTACCCTTATTCTACGAGAGGGTAGAAAGATCCCCGGAGCAGGATAATCTAAATGACACACTAGCATTGGCATTCTTTCTCTGGCCTTATGCCATGTCTGTTTACATAAGGGTGTCCATTTCCAGTGTGGGACTGGGTGATGGAGGGGGAGGACTCAGGTGATGAGGAAGAGAGGCAGAGAAGACGGAGAGCAAAGAATTAGCTCATTAAGTAGAACTATTTGAATAAGGAAGTTCTTTTTGCAGTCACACCCAGAATTACATCTGTAACATTGCTTCCTCTTGCTGCCTAAACAGGCTTACAGTTTGTAGTCTCGTGACAAATGTTTTGTCATCTTCTACTTAAGTGAAACCCACCATCCAATGGGTCCTGTAACTGGAAAACTTGCCTGTATCTTCTAGGACACCCGTTTTAACGGTGTAGGCCACTGACGAATTAGTCAGTGCCATGATAGACACATTAAAGGACAATGACTGTCCTTGCCACCATAGACTTTTGCTATCTCTTCCCTTGGACAATGCCAGCCCAAGTTCCTCAGGCATCACCAACCTCAGCCGTCAGTGCAGAACAATGTGTGGAAACACCTGTCGGCTTCTGAGATACTTCCTACTATAATGAGTTGGTGCCCAGACGAAACTCAGTGCATTCCCATCTATATGTTTCTAAGACATGTATGTTAAAACAAAGAATTTCAAACCAGGAGTCAAATGTTTCCAGATGCAAATAAACTATCCGTATTTGTTAAATATTTTAGCCAGTGGGGTGGCTGCAGTTATAATGACCTAGTTACCTAGTGAAAGAACTTTCTTCTGGTGTAGGAACTATGAAGGTCCTAGTCCCAGAGGCAGGGAAAGATGGTGGAAACCTACCATCTTGATTCCAGAAAGATTGTGTGAGGTAGGAAACTGGTATAAACTGGTATAATGTTTAACATGATGCAAAATAAAGTAGAAATCAATAGATTACCTAATACCACGGAGTCTTCTCTTAGCAGACCTATATCATATTGATTTATTATAGGTGAGACCTTACTGCTATGGGTCTCTTGTACTCTTGTCATTCCCTTCGTGGGATTGAGATGGCCCTGTGTTATGTCAAATTCCATTCAACCATAGATCATGTTATTAAAGTGTCAGAGTTGTTCCCCTACCCCCTTTAAAATGCAATAAATAATTTAGAGGACTGCCTTATCTATTAACATGTAAACTATTTTCTGATTTCTTATGTGCCACATCTTTTCTGTACCTTAGAAATAAAAAAATATAAAAATAAAAATCCACTGGATACATTGACATCCAGATAATATCCAGCAAAATCTTTCAAAGATAAATGATCTTCTTCCAGTAACGTTCTCTTAGAAATGCCAAGTGACCCAAATTAACTACAAGATAATTTATTTTTCAAAAATCAAAAGACAGTTGTAGAGTATCTGAGCAGGTTATTCCCTTAACTGAGATCTGGGGCAACATCATCCCTTAGTTGGGTCTAAAACATCAACTTTCAGATAAAAATATTTTTCATAGTTAAATAAGGGCGGCTTGTTTCAGTTGTTTTAAAGCCCTGCATGACAACATCTTCCCATTTTGAAGACTGCATAACTGTTTCAGTGAATGGAAATAAATTCCTGGTTCGTCGAGCTAGTTCTAGGTCTGCAAAGCCACAGAGGAAAGAAAAAGAGAGAGCTGCTTGATGGCCAACACTGTCTGGCATGACTCAGGCTTCCACTGCCTAATGGTACACCAACTCATAATTTAGGGGTTGCTTCTGGGACGAGAGATGGAATGGATGATGAGGTGTGAATGGTTTTCACATCTTGCTCTTTTTTTTCACCTAAAGATTTATTTTTACTTTTAAGTAATCTGTACACCTAGCATGGGGCTCGAACCCTCAACCCCGAGATCAAGAGTCGTAGGCTCTACTGACTGAACAAGTCAAGCGCCCCCATTATTTACTCTTCATACTTTTGTACTTCACTTTTACACAAGGAATGTATCTGTGTCTTCCTTGACTTCCTAGTTCTTCAGAGCAATAAAGGTCATTATTAGCTCATGAGTGATTTCTAGATTTCACTTCATGGCTAGTAGGCAAAGTCAGGTGAAGAAATGAGAAAAAAACCCAGAAGTTTTGGGTTCAAGATTTCCCATTAACTCTTAACACAACTGCTATAGGGCTTACGTGGTTCAAGCCCAAGTTCAAGCTATCCATGTATTTGGGGGCTGGGACACCTGCAGGTACCTTTCATCTCTTACTTGAGTAAGTGCTGTTCTTGAACTTTTTCTGATACTGTTCTCTGAGCAGCAATTTTTCCTGGAAGGGCCATTCCAACTGTAACCTCTTCTCTACATCGGAAGGGATGGATCCAGATTTGCAAATATCTGCAAATGGAAGAAATAATTTAGAGGATCTATTTTCACAGTGGTAAGGTTGAAATCCCGTACATTTATTTCATTACTTATTTATGTGACTAAAGCAGGATAATTACATTTCTGGTATGAGATCAGAGAGAGAGATATTCTGTTACACACGTCAAATTTGCTGGCTAACCAATCACCACACAAAAAAACCACCAAAGGGCAGGTTTCCTAAGAAACACTGGACATACCCTGGATACAGATACACTGGACGTGACTTCAGGTTATTTAACAATTCAGAAGGCTCCTCAGAAACTTAAAATTGCTAGAGAACCCCACCTAAGAAAACAGTTCAATTCTCTTAAGATTCACTTTCAAAATACACAGAAATTTGTTTCGCTGGACTCTTATCTGTTTTGGGTTGATTTCCTCTTGCCATAATGGTGGGACAGGAAATGTTGACTTTTTTTTTCCTTCAAATATGATATCCTCGAAGCTTCTGAGACCACAACATGGGCAATTGGAAAAGTCAACCACTATGCTGTCAGGCAGACCGGACTTCTTTATCACAAGGGCAGCAGAGTTGTTGGGCGCTGGCTGCCAGGGCGTGCTGACCTGCCAACAACTTCCTTTCTGGGAAGCTACACATTCTGGCTTTCTGGCAACCAGTGCCTCATCCATCGCTGTGCTCAAAAAGGATGTTTCAGAGGCACTTGACATCTCCCATCCCCCACCACATATACACACAGGATGAGGAAAACTGACGAGCAAAGGAGAGTTTCCGGTCTGAACTTAAGAGACCTTTCAAACACACGTGACTGACGGGAATGGTCAAGTCTAAGCATAAATGATTCCAATATGTCACTTTAAGAGAATTCTCCTGCTTTTTTTCATTTTTTTCTAATTACTCTTCTATCAGTTTTGGCCCAATTACTGACTAACTGTTCTGGACACTGCCTACCTGAAGAAAATAGAAGGAAAATATGTAATATATGAAATAATGAAATATTATTCACTAATATATGCATGATGCACACATTATTATAATTCAACTATATATACACTATATTTTTCATAATCGTTACAATAATGATTTAACTTCCATTTGAAGTCTGTATAGTACTTATGGAAGACATAGGGCAAATCCTCGTTGCTCCCTAAGGCAGGTTTCTCAGGGGGAGCCAACAGACTTCCAAATATCAGAATCACCTGAGGAGCTTGCTAAACTTGTAATCTAAGGTTGGAACACAGAATCCAAATATTCAAACTCACCCCAGGTGACTACGGGTAGTCAATAAAGTTTGACAGTCACTGCCCAATAAATCAAATCTTAAAATCCAGTCTAAGAAGCAGAGCGTATCTCCACACCCTTTTGTTATACCTTCCATTCACATTCTATTTTCAGAATAAATGGGTTGCAATCCATTGCTTGTATCTTCGGCTGTAAATACTCTTTTCAGTTTGACACATTTCTGCCCACATGCTCCCACTAAGCAGCTGTGTCCTTCAGCTACAATCATTGTTCTATTTACAGCACAATTAACTCTCAGTTATGCCCAGCACAATTTTTTGTGTGAGGTCTCACATTCCTGAAAACATCGGGAGGAGGAAACCTGCCCCCTACTTCCTCCTTTTGTGAGAAATGCCTCCATCAGGCAGTCGGGAGCCCTCGATTTCTTACTGTCAGATGGCAGCCGGAACACTTCTCTGAGAATGCTCAAGACTGACTCAAATGAATTAAAACATATTGTGAATCTTTAAAAAGTTCACCCTGGTTGACTTGAGACTGCCAGTAACTCCTCTCTTCAAAGGTCGGTTCTTTTTGGGGATCGAAAATGAGAAAGTCCGTCTTGGTGCCACCAAATCGCAGGTATGCCGGAGACAAACCTCTAGCCAAAGTGCGAAGCTTTGGAGAACTGTTAGAAGACAAGCAAGAAATTAAAAGTATGTTTTCCAGGACACTCCAGTCTAACATGTTTACTCTTGAGGTGGACCTATTTCTTAATATGTAGCTGTATGGGGCTTGGAGGGAGAAGTCCTATTGCTATAACGGGGAAGTCTTCTCAGTCGGAATCTTTCTAAGTGCAAGGTTGCACATCTAGGCGCCTGCAGGCAACTTGGAGCTCTGACTCTGGCAAGAACTTATATTTTAATTTGACAAGTAGGATAGTGTTCAGTACTTTCAAAAGACTCATAACCTTTTGTGACTGATGGAGGAAAAGAGGTTAAGAGAGTGGGCACTATAGGAAAGATGACTCTGTGTTTCTCGGAAAAATAGATTGTCTTCAAAAATGTATGTTCTCAGGGCCCCTGGGTGGCTCAGTAGGTTAAGCATCGGACTCTTGATTTTGACTTGGGTCATGATCTCGGGGTCTTGGGACGGCCCCACATCAGGCTCCACGCTCATCGGGTAGTCTGCTGCTTGGGATTCTCTCCCTCTGCCCCCCACACTTGCACTCATGTTCTCGCTAAAATAAATAAATCTTGGGGCGCCTGGGTGGCTCAGTCAGTTAAACGTCTGCCTTTGGCCCAGGTCATGATCCCAGGGTCCTAGGATGGAGCCCTGCATCGTCCGGGCTCCCTGCTCAGCGGGGAGTCTACTTCTTCCTCTCCTCCCTCCTCGTGCTCTCTCTCTCTCTCTCTCAAATAAATAATCTAAAAAAATTATAAACTAGATCTTTTTTAAAAATGTAAAAAAGAAGTTTAGGTTCTCAGATAAGTTCATAAATGAGTTAGGATTCTTCCTCTTCTCCCTAACTCTGGCTTTCAAGGAAAACCATCCTTCTAAATTTAAGTCAAATGATTTAGAATTAGATAAGATTCTAATTCCTATCATCAACAACTCTAATTTGAGCAATTCTAAATGCATATCTCATCAAGTCAAAAATGCTGCTGGTAGGTGCCTCTTATGTGCTCAGAATGGCACCAAATGCTCCAGAATGGAATCAGAATGCTTTACAATCCCTTCCCTCAGAAAGATGAAGATGTCATGACTATTTAAATGAACAAAACAAAGATACCAGAAGACGCAGGTAACGGGGACGGCTGCCATACATTTCTGAAGTCTCATACATGTGATCCTGGCCACACTACTCTCTGAACTCTCTTAAAACGCGTAAAACCAATGCCGTCTAGCTCTTTGGAATGGTCCAATTAATTAGCTTCCATGTGGGTTCTTTCAAATTGGAGAATCATTCCAGGAGGACTAATTGGCAATATGTCTTAACGTCTGAGGAATTAGAGACCTGACCTAAAATTTAAAATTTTTAAATCTAAAATTTCAGGATACTGCAGAACTATACATACTGCTATGTAAAATGTTCCAAAGATGACTTTATTTATGCTTAGGAAAGAGAACTTAAAAGATGGAAATAGACCAAAGGATAGGTCTCCTGCCTTAAAAACTCCAGCAATTCCTCCTCACCATTCTTTTGTTTGTTTGTAACTTGAGAGCTTTTTACTGTACTACCTAGGCATTTTTGCCTTCATGATCCTCTTCCTCCATTAAAATATATATATATATATATTTAAATGTATATTTCATGATGATATTTCCATAAAGACAAACATGTGAATATTATATATTAAAACATTTTCTTTGACCTAAAAGTTCATTTTCTTTGGATCTTACAAGAAGTTAGAAGATTTTCATGGGCCCCTAAGTGCGGAAACACAGCACAAAGTGAGGCTTCAGAAATGTTATCGGCCTGGAATTCAACGTTAACTGAAACACCGGGCAGCACCACAGAACGCCAGGAAGGACGGCCCGTGCTGCGAAATCCTCACAGCCGCTTGAAAATAAAGGGAGATGATAACCTGGACTAAGTAAGGATTCAGAAGAAAGCCATTTCCACTTTGCTACAAACCCAAACAAAAAAAAGCAGTAGGGAGGGCAAGAGAGCGCTGTTGTTTGATGGGCACAGAGTTTCCTTTTGGGAAGATGAGAAAGTTCCAAGATGGGTAGTGGTGATGGTTGCAGTGGGAGTACACTTAATGCCACTGAACTACACACTTAAAACGGTTAAATGGTAAGTTTTATGTTTGGTATCTTTTACCACAATTAAAAGAAGCTGCAGACATAGTGTGATTTCAATAATGAAAATAATATCTATACAAGGCGATAACAGGGGTCATTACTATGTACTGAGATGGATGGTAGACTCTCTTCTGTATTTTATAAGTGTTCCATAATAAGCATATGACATTTTAATTTATACAAGGTGGTTTTATTTTTTAAGGATAAGCGAAGAAACCAAAATTTAGGAAGGGAGACATAGCCATCCGTTAATCAATAAAAATTCATGGCAGGCCCACTTTGCCAGGCATTATGCTAGTTGCAGGGGATACAATAGGAAACAAGACAGACAGAGCTGCTGTTCTCATATAATTTACAATCTGCATGTATATATATATATATATATACACATATATATTTAAGGATTTATTATGTATTTATTTGAGGGAGAGAAAGACAGCTTGCATAAGCAGGGGAGGGGCAGAAGGAGAGAGAATCCCAAGCAGACTCCCTGCTCGGCACGGGGCCTGGACTGGGGAGGGAGGGGTGTTTGATCCCATGACCCTGAGATCATGACCTGAGCTGAAATCAAGAGTTGGACACTTAACCGACGGAGCCACCCAGGCGCCCCCAAGTGCATACATATGTATTTAAACAGGTATATAGGCAATTCCAAAACAGGGCTATGAGAACACACAATGGGTATCCTAACCCAAACTCTGGGCCGGGGGTAGGGTGTGGTTAGAGGTTTTGGGGGGAAATAGCTTCACTGTTTGACATTCAAAAGGATTAAATCTTATCCAGGTCAAAGATACTGAGGTGGGATTGAAGGAAGCGTTCTAGGTGTAGGGAAATGTCCGCAAAGGCAGAGGTAGGAGAGAATATGGCACAAATGAAGAGCTAACAGATGTGGTTAGAGCCTACAGGTTAGGGGCAGGGAGAGGATGGAGTATAGAGGCTAAAAGGGCCGCACCATGGAGGGTGAGCCACCATGTCCTGGAATCCAGCTTTATATGAGGGCAATTTAGAGCTATGGAAGGATTTAGAGCAATGAAAAGGCCTCACCCGACTTCTATTTTAGAAAAGAATCTCAGGCTGCAGTGTCAATAACTGAACAGAAGGACCAAGACTGTGGTCACATTAACATAAACAGGAAGTGATAGGCTGAGATAGGGTAACAGCCCTGGGGATGGAGAGGTGGGTAAATTCAAGACACCTGTGGAGGTAGAAATACTGGATTTCATGTTTAATTGGATATTCCAAAAGAGTCAAGGATTACCCCCTGGGAAGCATCTTGGAAGATGGTAATATTTGCTGAGATGAAGAATAGGTGATAGACTGGAGCTGGGGATGAGGGCAGGGGGAGAGGCTCGGTTTTGTAGAATTGGAAATGTTAAAGCAACACCAAAAAACATATTTCCGTCTGGCCCTTGGCCATGTGTAATGGACAAGCTGAGGGACACATCAAGGTGAGAGGCAGAATGGAGAGTCCTCGGTCTAAACGTCAGTGACTGGTAACCCCCAGCCCACAGGTGCAGATACACGGCCTCACAACTAATACAAGGATCTTCCTCAGAGTCATTTCAGGCTGGCTGTGTCCCCCTGCCTTTGGTCAGGCACTGAGTCCAGCCCTTGGCATTTTAACTGCGTTTGATGAGAGAGGAAGCTCATTTAGATTTTTTGTGTAGCTGGTACCAGAGACTGGTGCTCTCTGAGAAACAGAAGGAAAACTAGCACCATGTAGAAGGAGCTCAAGAGACCTCAAGATACATATATCTGCCTGGGTCAGATGCCTGAGTCCCAGAGCCTACCTCCCAGAGATAGTGACTATACCACCTCAGGTCACTCTCAATCATATTACCTTGCTTTGATTTTCTTCAAATCCGTCACCATTCTCTGAAATTAGCTTCCTTATTATTTGCTTGGTTTACTATCTATCTCCCCTCCATGCCATGTAAGCTCCCATCTGTCTGGCTCATCAGAATCTCCTCAGCACCTAGACAAGTGCCTGGCACACAGCTGGTGCTCAATAAATATCTGTTAAGCGAGTGAACAAGTGAGTCCACCCTGACGAAAGGGCAAGTGGGGCCAAAGATTGTTTTCTGAACGCAATTAAAACCCAATGCTATGGCTCCTGCCAAGTAAAGGAAATCACGTGTTTCAAAAGTCTTGGTAGTAAAGATCGTTTTATTTGTCTCCTTTGCCAGGGAATATTTTCTTGTTTTGAGAATACAATATTGATGCCCTCTGACAAAAACCAGATTTTAAACAGCTGCAAAACATGTCATAAAAATAAAACTGATCAAAGGTATTCTATTTCTATCATACACGGGGGAGGGGAAAAAAAAGGTGGTGGTTGGGGGGGATTTACCACCACCACAGTGATATGGAAATAAACCAAAAAGCCCCACGTCAAAGCAGCTGCAGATATTTCACTTCCGGAGCAGTTTGTGAGGGGAAAGCAAAGTCTGCAGGTATTTTTATTTTACCTTCCGTGTAAAAATAAGCTGCCTATCTCTGACACCAAATCGGAGGTGTGTGGGAGCCAGCTTGTGCCGGCTCCCATCAGCTGTGAGAGCCAGTTGTTATATTTTGAGAACAAGTTGTTAAACCGTTGGCAGTTTGAAATCAGCCACGGTGGGAATATTTATACCACAGAAATCAAAAAGAAAAAAAAAACACAAAAACCAACAACCCATAAATCACATAGGGCGTGAATTCAAGCCATGGAAGCCGGTGAGACCACTCAGGAGATTATGTGAAAAGAAGAGATTATGTGAAAAGAAGGCCCAAGTCAGAAGTCTGAGGAACATCAAACATTAAGACAAGCTAGAGAAAGAGGAGAAGAAGTGTTAAAGAGGTGGGGGAACCCGCAGAAACGGAAGCAACATAGACCTGAAG